CCTGACTCAAGGCATGCTATTCTCAATCAGCTCATTGCATGCGTGCAAGAGCTGGGCAAAGAATAACTAAGTGTTAAGAAGAACTGATACCTCTGAATCAATGATGTTTGGGAAGAGTATTAAATGCACCATGAATCTCTGGAAGATAGAGTTAGAATGCTCCTCACAGACAAAGATGGTAGACTTCATCTAAAGTACTTTGTATATGTCATCAGGAGGGCCCAGTCCCTGGAAAAGGATATCATCCTTAGTAGAGGTTCAGTGAGGCGGAAGAACCTCATTGAGATGGACTGACCCAGTGGCTGCAACCATCAGCTAACACACAGCAACAATTGTGAGGATGGCGCAGGACCAGGCAGGGTCTCCTTCTGTTGTATATAGGGTCACTATGAGTCAGACTAACTCGAGAGGTCCTAACAACAAGAACAAGAAAAATAACAGGTGCGTGTGTATGTAACTCCAAAATATTGATCTCTTTATTATTACTATTTTAGGTGTTACAATTTTCAGGAGATTTAAAAACCTTATCTTGTCTGTCTCTGATTATTTATCCAGCGCCAACAGTGTGACTTTTAAGTTACCTTTCCATGACTCAGTTTCCTCAGTGGGTAATAAAAACAGCAATTATTTCACAAGGTTGGTGTGAAAACCAAATGCAATCTATATAAAGCACGTAAAATAGTAGTAAGGGACCAGAGAATGTTATCATTCCTGACTGGTCATCAGCCACCAATAGATTCTAAGATTAGAGAGGAATGAAGAAACTATCCTTGAAATTCATGATATAAAGAATATCTATTTTATAATACTGTTGCTTTGTGCTGTTCAGTTGGTTCTGACTCATAACAAGGTCAGAGGCTATACAGGGCTTCCGAGAACTATTGGTTGGTTTGAAGGTTGATCTAAGGTTACCAGTGCAGTGCTTAGTCTATAGCACCATACTTTGTTGTTGTTGTTGCTAAGCACCAAATGAGGGCTCCCCATTTTTAATAGGTAACTTTATTATCTTAGGAAATGATACTAGCAGGAATCTCAGGTTTAGGGTCCATAATTTTATAAGTGAATACCACATTTATATTTGTTGTTAGGTGCCATCAAGTCGGTACCGACTCATAGCGACCCTATGTACAACAGAACGAAATACTGCCTGATCCTGGGCCAAATTCACAATTGTTGCCGCGCTTGAGCCCACTGATGCTGCCACTATGCCAATTTATCTCACTGGGGGTCTTCCTCTTTTTCTCTGACCCTCCACCTTACCAAACATAAGATCCTTCTCTAGCAACTGGTCCCTCCTGACAATTTATGTCTGAAGTATGAGAGACGAAGTTTGGCCATCCTGGCCTCCAAGCAGCACTTCTTCCAACACAGATCTGTTGGCTCTTTGGCAGCCCATGGCACTTTCAATATTTTCCTCCAACACCGTAACTCCAAAGTATCAATTCTTCTATGGTCTTCCTTATTCACTGTCCAGCTTTCGCATGCATATGAGGTTACTGAAAATACCATGGCTTGGGTCAGGAGCCCCTTAGTCCTCAAACTGACATCTTTGTTCTTCAACACTTTAAAAAGCTCTCGTGCAACAGATTTGTCTAATGCAATGATGTCTTTCGATTTCTTGACTGCTGCTTTTGTGTTGATAGTTGATCCAGGAAGAATGAAGTCCTTGACAACTTCAATCTTTTTCCATTGATAAGAATGTTGTTTATTGGTCCAGTGGTGAGGATTTTTGTTTTCTTTACATTGAGATGCAATCCATACCGAAGGCTGTGCTCTTTAATCTTCATCAGTAATTATTTTAAGTTCTCTTCACTTTCAGTAAGCAAGGTTGTATCATCTGCATATGGCAGGTTGTTAATGAGTCTTCCTCCAATCCTGATGTTACGTTTTTCTTCATAGAACCCAGCTTCTCAGATTATTTGCTCAGCATACAGGTTGAATAAGTACGGTGAAAGAATACAACCCTGTCACACACCTTTCTTAATTTTAAACCATTCAGTGTTCCCAAGTTCTGTTCAAATAGCTGCTTCTTGGTCCATGTACAGATTCCTCATTAGCACAATTAAATGTTCCGGAATACTCATACTTCGCAATGTTGTCCGTAGCTTGTCATGATCTACACAATTGAAAGTCTTCATATAGTCAATAAAGCACAGGTAAACATCTTTCTGGTATTCTCTGCTTTCAGCCAAGATCCATCGGACATCAGCAATGATATCCCTCGTTCTACATTCTCTTCTGAATCCAGCTTGAACCTCTGAAAGTTCTCTGTCAATGTATGCTTGCAGCCGTTTCTGTATTACTTTGAGTAAAACTGTACTCACATGGGAGAGCAAAGAGACTGTCCGATGATTTCTGCATTCCATTGGGTCACCTCTCTTTGGAATGGACACAAATACAGATCTCTTCCAATCAGTCGGCCAGATAGTTGTCTTCCAAATTTTTTGGCATAGGCAGTGCCTCCAGTGCTGCTAACGCACAATGACCCTGTATAAAATTTCAAGGCTATAAATCTTTATGGAAGCAGAAAAGCTCATTTTTTCCCCATGAATCATCTGGTGGGCTCAAACTGATGATCTTATGGTTCAAATTTATATCATAAATTTTGCTCAAAGGCTCAAATACAATTTTAACTGCTTTCAAAATGTGCATTATACTTGCTCTTACTGAAATTCGTTTCTAATTTCTGGCTTATTGGCTATAACTTAAGGACTCTTGGTGGTGCAATGAGTTAAGAATTTGGCTGCTAATGGAAAGATAAGCAGCTCAAACCCACCAATCACTGTGAGGGAGAATGATGAGGCTGTTAACTTCCATACTGATTTATAAACTTGGCAACCCTATGGAGCAGTGGTACTGTCCTATGGGCCCAGTATGAGTCAGAATCTCTCAATGGCAGTGGGTTGTGTTGGGGGCACACCCTTGAAAGATCTGCAGTTTATTCCTATTGACTAAGCATTTATTCACTTGAAAATACTTCATTTCATTTATATCTTTCACCACCAGGCTCATAAATCATTTCAAATGAAAGGGTCATTAGAGATGATGTAGTCCAACAATCTAATTTCACATACAAGGAAACTGAAATACAGAGGTTGAGTAACTGCCCCAAGGTTAGACAGTCTTTCTGGCTTGGCTTTTCTACCATGTACTCTCACATGTCCCCTCTACATGCCACCGTTTCTTCACTATGTGCTGATACCCAGTCCCTGTTTATTCCGAGTAACTCTAAATTGACTAAATGACTTCTTCCAGATTGTGAGGAACATCACTGGTCTCCATTTACTCACAGGCATATTTTGTTAATTCCCTCAATGCACTTGGTTAAATACCTGGTGGTATATATTTCATTAATTTTTAATCACCAGTACATCTAGGGTTTATTTCCTGTACCTTCAAAGACAAAGTCATTAAGTAAAATTCTTTCTCATGGGTGGATATGACCTCCTTGGCATGTCCTGAATGCTGCACTCAAATTCCTAGGGAAAATGCCCTTTCGAAGCAGGTTTCTAAAATGTGGACAGTCAATGCTTGTGGTTTAGTGTCCCTGTCTAAACATGATGTTGAACTAGATCAACAATCAGAGGGCTGGTGTGCTCGTATATTCCGTGACATAGAGAGCCTAGCTGATTACACTTTTTGTTTCAGGGCAGGCATGCGATCCAATCAATCCATTGGTTGGCCAGTCACTTAAAATGAGGCCTGGTGTGGTGATGAGCTGGTCCTCTCTACTCAAATTCTGGCTCTTGGAAATATGGCACAAACTCAAAATGAACCAATCAGGTAATTTAGTTGTGAGGAGCTGTTGAGTTGGTTCTGCCTCATTGCGACCCTATACATAACTTTAGGAAATAATTTCCAGTTCGGCACCATCGTCACAATTTTTAAGTTTGAGCCCATTGTTGCTGCCACCATGTTAATCCATCTCATTGAGGGTCTCCTCTTTTTCTCAGCTCCTCCACTTAAAAAAAAAAAAAAAAAAAAATCAGTTGTTATTTTTTAGTGTCTGGAGTCCATTCCGACTCATGGCAACCCTGTGGAGGGTTTCTGAGGAGCTGCTGCCTTGAGGTTCAAACCGACCGGGGGGTCCAGCGCATTATCCTGAAGCACCACACCAGGACTCCTTTAAATTAGTAAAAGGCACCAAGTCTGAAAGCGTTCAGAGAAATGATACATGATACATAAGGTAATGATGGTTTATAAGTGATAAGTAGTAGAGGCTCTTTAGTACAGAAATGTTACATAAAGAGAAAGAAGAATAGATTCAGGGACAAATCGGGGAAAGGCTCAGGCCTGGAATAGAATAGTTAATTAATGGGAGGTGGCATCTTCTCCTCTTTGTAAGGTCCCTTAAGCTGCATGCAAGTCTGATGAGGCCGGCATAATGCGATGTTTCTGCTCCTGGAACCTTTTAAGACCCGTTTTTTTTCTTATTTCCCGACATGCATATCATTTTATATGCCCCTGCCTTAATTTAACTAGAATGCAGGAGTTTCCAATAACCTGAAGAACTAATTACGCACCTGTGAATGAAAGGGGTGCTAGAACGTGCTTTCAGGTCTATGGACATGCGTCACCGACTGGTCACTCTCATTGTCAACTCTCCCAATTGTTAGGTGGAAAAGCGGGTCCTAGCTTTATCACTTGCAGCTTTCACATACATCCTGTTTATGGCAGAAATAACACCAGCAGTGCGCCAAGTATACAACCCAAAGTATTCAGCGTGGGGAGAAATGTCTCAAGAACCGAACGTGTTCTCGCTAGAAGCTCCTCACAGCCAGGTTTGCGGGCCCACCCCCGTGACGGACGCACGCTTTGGCCACTGCCCGAGAAGAGTGCGCCCGTGGGCGGGCTCGCTGCCCCCCGTCCCTCCGGCCCGCAGCCGCCCGCTTGGGTCACCTGTAATTGTAGTTGTTGAAATGCTTGCTCTCTCTCAGCATCGCCCGGTACAGATCTAATACTTGTCCGCGGCTGGAGGCTGCCATTTTGGAACGAAAAAAACAAGTGGGTCCTTTTTTGCAGAGGTCCCTAACCCACCCACAAAACTTCAGTCTGCAAAAACAAAAACCAAAAACCACAAAACTAAAGGCACCAGGAGCAAAACGTAACACAGGTGTCTGCTTTGCTGGCAAGGTCCGAGTCCAAAGACCAGTGCACGTGAGCCCCGAATCTCGTCTCTGCCACTGGATGGCACCCGGGAGTGCTGCGCGGCCCTAGGAAAAGCATGCAGGCAGGCGCGGGGCAGCTAAGGCGGCGGGGGCTTGGGGGCCCGCGGAGGGAGGGGCCAATGATTGACAGAGCCGGGCTGGGGGGCTGGGGGACTGTGGCCCCTTCTACACTCAGCCCGCTCTTTGGGGCCGTGTCGAGAAACGGGCAGTGACGGCTGCAGCTCCGTCACGGAACGTCTCCGTTAGCCGCCGGGCTAGAGGCGAAGACATTGGTGTCTGAATGTGCATTGCCCAGATGTGCCTCAGCTAGGCTAGGGGCCGCGTTGTCAGGGTGACCGAACGCGCATGTGCCACGCCCCTACCGCTTGCGGCCGCCCTCGGCTCTGCCTGAAAGGAGGTGCAGTGCGCTCAGGCTTGTAGCTTTTCTGTCGAACTTGATCCGCGGGCTGGTGGGGTCGCTGGGTTCCGCCGCGCGTGGGAAGGGGCGTGAGGTATGCGGAGGCGACGAGCCAGTGTTTTCCTGGCACGCCGGCTCCGCTCAGGGCGACAGGCTAAGGGACCTCCGGGGCAGGGCCCGTGTTTTTGTCAAAATGGCAGCGCCCAGCGTGCACGGGTGACTCTGAGTAGGGGCTTAACATAACTCCCCTTATCCAACCAGGCGAGAGCGAGCGTGCCTGCTGCGCGTCCGAATTTGAAACCCCTCAGGTTTGGGTTTCCCAGGCGATCAGTGGGTGAGTGTTGGCCGCGCTGTAGCGTGGGTATGCGACGCACGCCGTTCGTGTGGTGGGGAGTTTACACCTGTCCGTGGACTCTTCCATGTTAACAGCATATTCTTTGAGACTCGATTTTTTTCGTCATTGAGTTGTGAGTCACTCCGAGTTTTGTAATTTACTAAGTGTGCAAATTGTGGAAGGGGTTGTAGATGCTTTGGAAACAGTTAGGAGTTTAAGGACTCTGTTGTGATCACTTTGGACTAAGGGCAAGAAGCCAAGCAAGTGTTTACCTGAAGCTTTTCATATCATATTGAAGTCTACTCTCTGGGACTTTCTCAGAAGACTTTCAACTTGTCTGAACACTGTTAAAGTAGTGGGCTTTGAGCGTGTGATTGGGCCCAGGGAACCTTGAATCACTTTTAGTGACGTCTACAAAGCACTTCTCTTATTTTGGGACTTCTGTTTTATATACTCAATATAATTAGCATTAGGAAGAACCACTGTTTTCTGTCCAAACATGAGTGGAAAGCAAACAGCTTTCATTGCATTTGCTTTGCATTGGCACCCACCATTACTCCAACCACTGATTTATGGTTGTATTTTCGTGTCTTTTAAAACATATCGTTTGGAGATGATTTGTTACACAGATTGCAGGACACTTGCTCCACATCGAGGCGAGAGCCCTGGTGTGGTGCTGTGGGTTAGTGTGCCAGACTGCAAAGCCTTTTGAACTGCAAGGTTGGCGGTTCAAGCTCACCAGTCGCTCCTTGGAAACACTATACAGGGTCGCTGTGGGTCGGAACCGACTGGATGGCACTTAACAACAACAACAGGGCAAAGGAGACTTCTGACTTTACCATACTTAGTACTCATATATGCATTATGTTTTTGAGTCCAAACGTACTCACTAGTCATATTGCAACAACACATAATAGAAAAGTATTAGAGAAAATGCTTTCATTAAACTTTTGATCAGTCCCGATTTTGTTAGGGTCTCACACATTTGGGTCTCCAAATAGATTTTTTTTTTTTTTTTTTTTGGCGGGGTAGCGGAACTTCCGTCACTTTTGCTATTTGGACAGGCCATTGGGAAACTTGCTATGGATTTATCGAAGGGACTTTTAGTATTTTGACAATTTTCTTGGACAGTTTTTTAAAAATAGGGTTTATATGAGAGGAATTGCATATTATAGAATAAGAGCCAGAACCGTTTCTCTTAATGCTTTAGTGTGCAGATAATATAAAATGGTTTGTGGCATCAGGAAAGTGATAATGTTAATGTAAGTTACAGATATAGAAAACTTTCATAATGAGAAGACAAAAAATGAAAGTTATTTAGAAATAGTGGGAATTACAATATTGTATTGCATTTTGTTTTCATCTAGAAAGTGAAGGGGCCATAATTAATATATTGGGTACAGTTGCCTAGTTATCGAGCAATTGTTCCACTGATGTATACAATTAATATATCTAAATGACTTAACTTTGTTGTAACCAAATAAAACTTTCCAAGAATTATGTAAACTTTAAGTAGTTTGCATGGGGAGTTGAGAAACAGGAAACTGAGAATAAGAAAGTGATACCATGCCCAGTTAACCCTAAGCTAAGTTTTCACAAAAAGATTTTGTGTTTTATTTGAAATAACTTAGCAAAATGTTGAATATCATTGCTTTAAAGACTAATATAAACACTGTAACCAAAGCTAAGTCTCCAGTGTTTTCATGTTGCTGTTGCAGAGATGACTAGCTGAGGTTGAATTTAGAATAAGGCCAGAAACTGAGAAAGAGCCCACAAACTGAGAATGGACCTTATTTGCATGTCCTTTAATATTCATTCCATACTGGGCTGAGGACTCTCCTGTTAAGTGCCTTTGGGTCGATTCCAACTCATAGTGACCCTGAATAGAGTTAGTGAAGATTGGCTGGTGGGTTTGAACTGCTGACCTTGCAGTTAGCAGTCTAGTGCTTATCCTACATTGCCAAACCAAAAAACCAAACTCTAATCCCTTGAGTCAGTTTTGGCTCATTGAGACCAAGTGGAACTACCCCATAGGACTGTTCTTGTTCAGTGCCTTAGAGTTGGTACTGACCTATAGCAGTTATAAAGGGTTTCCGAGGAGTGGCTGGTGAGCTTGAACCACTGACTTTGTGGATCAAACTGACTTATCAGTCCAGCTTATTAACCCACAGTGCCACACCAGGACCCATAAAGATTGTTTTTAAGTACTGTCAAGTTCATCATGGGGACTATTATCTCTTTTAATATGAACAACTGAGAATCCAAGCCCAGCGAAGTTGTCACACAACCTTAAATATCCTGCTGTCCTTAAGCTTACATATCAAAATGATGTGTAAAGAAAATCTGGTTTAGAATAAGTAACTTTTAGTATAATTTATGAATGATTCCATTCTACATATGAATCTACCTCTATTATCATCATTTGTTTATATTTCTCCTTAATTCTTTGTTGTTGTTGTTGTTGTTATGTGCCGTGGAATCGGTTCAGACTAATAGCAACCCTGTACAGGGTTTCCGAGGCTGTAGATCTTTACGGGAGCAGAAAGCCTCATCTTTCTCCCATGGAACAGCTGGTAGTTTCGAACTGCTGACCTTGTGGTTCGCAGACTAATTCATAACCACTACGCTACCAGAGCTTACAGAACCTTTTTCTTCATTTGTTCATTCATTCATGCAGCAGTTATTGAACACTTCCTAAGTGCTATACATTATACAAGATGATAGAGTTAAAAGGATGAGAGCCCTCCAAATCCCCTCAAGAAGCCTATAGAAGACTGTATAAGCTCAGCAATAATTTATTGTGACAAGTGCTGTAATAGGGATATTTACATATGTTGTTCTGGTTTGGCGCAGTTGAGCTGAGCTTTTACTCAGCATCCCAATATAATGAGTAGAATTGCTCCATAGAATTTACTGGCTGTAATGGAGTCCTGGTGTGGTGCTGTGGGCTAATGTGCTGGACTGCAAAGTCGGTTTGAACACTGGACTGCTAGCCACAAAGTCAATGGTTCAAGCTCACCAGTGGTTCCTTGAAACCCTATACAGGGTCGCTATGGGTCAGACTGACTTGATGGCACTTAACAATAACGATCTGTACAGAAGAGCCCTGGGGCATAGTGGTTAAGCACTCAGTTGCAAGCTAAAAGGTTGGCAGTTCCAACTCCCCAGCCACCCTGCAGTAGAAAGCTGTGGCAGTGTGCTTCCATAAAGATCCCACCTTTAGAAACAACGGGGCACCTCTACTCTGCCTTCTCGGGTTGCTATGAGTTGCAGTGGACTTGATAGCCATGCGTTTTGTATGTTTAACCTTTATGGAAGCAAATCCCCAGGTGTTTCTCCTAGGAACTACTAGGTGAGTTGGAACCACCACCTTTTAGTTAGGAGTCCTGGTGACATAATGGTTAAGTGCTCAGCTGTTACCAAAAGGTTAAGGATTTGAACCCATGCAGCCGCTGTGCAGGAGACAGACCTGGCAATCTGCTTCTGTAAAAATTCCAGCCAAGAAAACCCAGTGAAGCCCTTCAACTCTGTCACATGGGTTTGCTGTGAATCGAATCCAGTCAACGCACCCAACAACAACTTCACAAAGTTCATGGAAAATTCCATTCTCTTTTAGTTCCATTTTTCCAGTAATGCTTTTGGTTATGAGTTGGGCTGCCAATCTCAAGGTGAGCAGTTCGAAACTACCAGCGGTTCCATGGGAGCAAGATGAGGCATTCTGCTCCTGTAAAGATTTACTGCCTTAGAAATCCTGTGCAGGGTCACTATGAGTCGTAACTGACCCCACGGTACTTAACAACAACAACAGCTAATGCTTTGAAGTCCTCTCACATTTGGAGTCCTTGGATGGTGCAAACAGTTGATGTGTGTGGCTGCTAACTGGAAGATTTGAGGTTAAGAGCCCACTAGGGATACCTTGGAACTAAGGCCTAGTGATCTACTTCTGAAAAACCAGGCATTGTAAACCCTTGGAGCACAGTTTGACCGTGGCACACACACATATAGGGGCTCCATGAGTTGCAGTTGACTCAGTAGCAATTGGAAAGAAATGGGGAAGGAGACATTAGCCAGGACTTTGACCTACTG